TAGAGGAACTAAATGTATTCTCTGAGAAGAGGAGATTAAGGGGGGATATGATCTCCATGTATAACACATAAGGGGGGATATGATCTCCATGTATAATACATAAGGGGGATATGATCTCCATGTATAATACATAAGGGGGGATATGATCTCCATGTATAATACATAAGGGGGATATGATCTCCATGTATAATACATAAGGGGGGATATGATCTCCATGTATAATACATAAGGGGGGATATGATCACCATGTATAATACATAAGGGGTGATATGATCTCCATGTATAATACATAAGGGGGATATGATCTCCATGTATAATACATAAGGGGGATATGATCTCCATGTATAATACATAAGGGGGGATATGATCTCCATGTATAATACATAAGGGGGGATATGATCCCCATGTATAATACATAAGGGGGATATGATCTCCATGTATAATACATGAGGGGGGATATGATCTCCATGTATAATACATAAGGGGGGATATGATCTCCATGTATAATACATAAGGGGGGATATGATCTCCATGTATAATACATAAGGGGGGATATGATCACCATGTATAATACATAAGGGGGGGTATGATCTCCATGTATAATACATAAGGGGGGATATGATCACCATGTATAATACATAAGGGGGGGGTATGATCTCCATGTATAATACATAAGGGGGGATATGATCTCCATGTATAATACATAAGGGGGGATATGATCTCCATGTATAATACATAAGGGGGGGATATGATCACCATTTATAATACATAAGGGGGGGGTATGATCTCCATGTATAATACATAAGGGGGGATATGATCACCATGTATAATACATAGGGGGGGGGGGGTATGATCTCCATGTATAATACATAAGGGGGGATATGATCTCCATGTATAATACATAAGGGGGATATGATCTCCATGTATAATACATAAGGGGGGATATGATCACCATGTAAATACATACATAAGGGGGGATATGATCACCATGTATAATACATAAGGGGGATATGATCACCATGTATAATACATAAGGGGGGATATGATCACCATGTATAATACATAAGGGGGGATATGATCACCATGTATAATACATAAGGGGGGGATATGATCTCCATGTATAAATACATCAGTGGTTCATATAGTGAACTCGGTGTAGAGTTATTGACCCCGAGGTCATCACAGAGGATACGGGGGCAATCTACGTCTGGAAGAAAAGAAGTTTAATCTCCAAATACGGAAAGGTTTCTTCACAGTAAGAGCTGTGAAAATGTGGAATAGACTCCCTCAAGAGTTGGTTCTGGCCAGCACTGTGGATTGCTTTAACCGCTGCAATACCGGGCACTTTTACCGCCTTCTTGCCCAGGCCATCAGGTTTCAGCGCTCTCACACTTTGAATGACAATTGCGCGGTCATACAACATTGTACCCAATCTAAAATTTTATCATTTTCTTCACACAACTAGAGCTTTCTTTTGGTGGTATTTAATCACTGCCGGGGTTTTTAATTTTTGCTAAATTAACAAAAAAAAACGCCTAAAAATTTTGAAATTAAAAACACGTTTTTCTTTGCTTCTGTTATAAACGTTTAATGCAATAAATAATTTGCGCTAGTAAATGTATATAAATATATAAAAAATATAAAAATCATCAAATCATAAGTCCAAAAAAATATATATGCCAATACCACAAAAAAACTTTTAAAGTGCAAAAAACGTTTGTGCAAAAAAATGTCTAAATATGAAAAATTTCACCAAAAAAACCTTGATAATATGATGGCAGATCATCCATAGATATATTTTCAGAAACGAAACTCTGCAACACACCAATCCTCATAGATCAAATAACAGGATGAAAGAAACTTTGCAATTAATCGGAAATCCACTTCTCCAGAAGAAAGAGACCACCTTCAATCGTATCCATGGGGGGAAATGCCAGACACTCGAGAGAAACAGAAAGACTTCATGGTGCAATATTATAAAAGCCAATTCCTTTATTAGGTACTCATTGAACTTACTCAAGAGGTGTCCCAGCCGACACCAGCATCAACAGCATGACAGCAATCACATAAAACGAGCCTAGCTACTCAGCACATGCGCAGTAGCTGGCAGCCAAAAACGTAATGACGTCACATCAATCAAGCTCCGCCCTACGCGTTTCGTCATCGACGTCCTCACGGAGCGGATGCTTTTCAGCCAGACCAATTATGTAAGTATGTAAAAATTGGCATAGAATATTGTTAGTGGACATGTCTGCTGGAACTTTGTTGTTCTCAATGGATAGAGCCATGTCTTGGTGATGACATAAAAGAGTGATGTTAGGTCATCCCACAACCTGTCCTGCTCCATTCAAAACAGTGAAGGGTTAAATAAAATCTATCCATAGAGAAACATGGGGGTTTGAGGCAGGGACAAGATGCAGCAGGAGGGGTGGTTGCCCCAGGTGCAGAGGTGTCATGTGAGGTTGAGGGAAGCACAACCCTAAACCAGATAAAGAGAGGAGGAGAGATCCAGGAGGAGGTGTGGGATGTGCTCTCTCTCCTCTTCTGCTACTTCCTTTTTTCACTTCAGCACTCCTGGATCTGGATTGTCAGAGATTGCTTACTGTAAAGGAAATTTGTAAATTCTGTATAAAATTGTATTCTATTTTGTATGCTCTGCCTATGTAATGTAAACCACACTTGTGCACATGGCACAATAATGTTTTTATTACGTTTGCATTCCTTCAAGTCCTGATTAGAAATTAGCCTGCCTATGTAATGCCCCTTGTTACCATAAAAGTACATTTGTAATATTAATGTGATGCCTACATGATCCTGTGTATAAAACACTTCAAAAACACTGAATAAACAGAACAGGTAATTTGAAAGATGCTGAGTGTATCTTTTTGTGTCTGTTCCCTGCTGCAGTAGGTTTATATTGTTAGAAGTCTTCCATAACCTAATATCTAATATCTGCTAATGATAATGATAATATTACTAACATACAGTATGTATGAATGTGTTGGATCTTAGTAGAATAATTGAGTTGTTATATTTCTATTTGTTCTAGATTGGGAAAAGTAAGATAAACAGACTTTTATAGTCTATGTGATTATGTGAATACGCATGTATGTGGATATATACTGTATCTTGTTTTTTTTCTGTATAATCTAGCAACATGTGGTAGTAATTAGTCATGAATTGGCTAGCTAGCTTTCCTCTCTCTGTGGGTAGGGGCTAAAGTTCCACTAATAAGAGGATTGTAAGAATTTATTTCATACACGTTAAGCATACAAGATTTATACTGTAATATTTCTTGATTAGGATATTTATTTATGATATAACTTTATATTAAGAATACTTTTGGGAGATATATATATATATATATATATATATATATATATATATATATATTTGTAACACATCCTACCCCCCATGATTGATGAAATGTCAGTGAAGTTCTGATTAGTGGTCCCATGAATTACATTTCAGACTCTGGCCTAGGGGAGGGGGGGAGCAAGACTGAAGGTTTGTTACCAGATATTATTATGGGACTCTAAGAAACAGAAAGGAAAACCAACCCACTTTTAGAAGAAGGTGGAGGCTGAATTGCTCCTTATAGAGCAGAACAAAGAATTTTTAGGGGTCCTTTTTTTGGGGTCCTTTTTCACGAAACTTATAGAAGATTACAAGCTGGGCTAAGGAGCCCACAGACTCACATGACACACACACAATTATACACACAATTTTTATCTCAAGAACATAACTCTATTTTTTGGACATTCTATATTCCAATATTTTATTTGTAATTTTATGCAATATTATTGTTAAATCCATTTTTGAGTTTATGCAAGAGCTGGAAGGACTTTCTATTTTGAACTTTTCTCACCAATATAAATTAACAAAATATCAAGACAATTTGGTATTTTACAATTATTAATTTGGAACCACTAATCAATATGTAGATAGGAGTTGCCTTTCTATAAAATTTCAGCATTATTGTCCAGAACACTTAACCAACCCCATCTCCTCCCAGAAAAGAATGTGAATAAAGGACAGGTAAGCAAACTCTATAAAGTCCTTATCTGACGGCCAGTGGTGTCCCTGATTGCGTGTTTACATTTTTGATTTATTTACTGTATTTGATAGATCTTCTTTAAGTAGTACATTTCTTGATGAAGTTCATCGAAAATGCGTGGAAACTACTGAGCAATTGCATTGAATAAATATTCCTCTTTATGAAAACCTGCAACTTGTCATTTGAAAGTGAAGTATTTATTAACAGTATAAACAGTCTTTACAAGATATGTTGGTGATGACTGCCACTTGCCTTTCCTACAGTAGAGTATTTCAATTATTGATACCTGTTGGAATACAGTATCTTTTAGGTAAAGTGTGTCTTTATTGTTGGCATCCTAAAAGTCCCACTTTGCAAGTAAAGGATGTCTCTGATGTACATCCTTTGGTGTATACAGTTTGTGGTGTAGATAGAGGCTTGTTAGAAGCCTGGGTATGAGTCAGTGTTTTCAGGTCAGGCTGGAGGGCTCTACAGGTCAGGCATTTGGTACCACCCCCTGGTTCTAGAAGCCTGGCGAAGTTTCTAGAAGCTAGTGGCTGGAGGCCAGAAGGTGCTGTTCTGCATATTTATCTGTCCAATCCCTGGGCAGGAGGCCAGGCAAGGTGGCCAAATCAGTCCATAAATATGAGAGGTCCTGGCCAGCAAGGGAGTTGGGTGGAAGATTGAGTCCTGAGGTGTGCTGCTTTGTAGCCTGGGAGGGGACCACCTGGAGAAGGGGGGTTTTGCCTCCAGACTGGGCCTCCAGACTGGAGGTTGGAAGAATGGCAGAAGGAAGTTGACAGAGGGAGCTTCACTGCCCTGCAGTATACTGAAGAAAGACAGCCTGCTAGCTTGCAAAGAAAATATCTCAGCTAAAGGCCTGGAAGCAGTTTATCCAAAGCTACAGGTCACAAGGACAGTGTGAGTACCTCTACACCCTCAGGGCCTACAAGGAAGAGAGCTGCTATGTGCCATACCCAACCAGTTCTCCCGGGACAATGCTGCAAGTCTGTTCTAGAATGTCTTGCTCTGGGATACTCTTAAAGATAGCCAGGTGGATGGGCAATTTTAGCTGGGGTCTGTAGAGATTCATATAAAGAGGGGACTAAGTGCACCTTACATAAACTGTGTTACTGATCTGAGAAGATGCTGATGCCACTGCGAAGGGAGTAGAAAGTCCAAGATCCATACTTTTTGTACAGAATTTAGGAAGTTTGTCCTCAGAGTTATTGTTTAAAGCTGGGCATCCCATATAACCCTAGACCCCATCCAAGGTGTTTACCACAAATAAAACAACAAAAACAAGCCCATGGACTGGTTACTATCAGGGTGGATAAAAATCAATGATTTTTTTTTTTTTTTAAAAAAAAAAAATCGGATTTTTTTTATTTAAATCAGATTCTTTTTATTTAAATCGGATTTTTTTTAAATAAAATGCTTTTTGAGGAAAATATATTACCATCCAAAGGTTATTCCATCATGAAATAAAGATTAGGTTTTTAATTATGTAGAATAAGGCTGTATATGTTTAATTTTTTTGGTAAATAATTCCATGAATCCATTCACAATGTCATGCTCTTCCAGAGGTTTTTGTAAGATTATTGGGCAGTTTCTCTGCCTACAACATATTATCACAGATGCTCGGTTTACTGTTGCAGTTCTCAAAACTGAATTTGACTCAGCGGAGATCACATGCCTCTTCTTCACAGCAAAAATGTTATAACATGAACAGAGTTAAGAAAAAGACCTTCATCCTAACTTCTACAAACCTATGAATACAGAATCAACCCCTTCAGTGTTAAGTTTCAAGAAGTTCAGTGAATAGAATAGAAACAATATTTTTCTGATTGTTTGGAGTGGAATAGATCTGCACAAGAAGAAAGTGAAACTAAGTGTGAGGAGGAAGGGGCTGACAGTCTATGTTTCTTCAAATATATAGATTTTGTTTAGCCAAATTAGTTACCAAACATGGATGTTTGTTTAAGCAAATCACATATGCTGGAATGTTATTGTTTCAGTTGAATAAATCTATTTAAATTGTTATTATTAAGGTAATGATTATTTTTCTCCTTCCTAAGTACAACATAAAAGTTGTCCAAATATGAATGATTAACCTATTAAACTGGGGATAAAAAAAAACTAATATGAAAAGTTGTTATTCTAAAAATCTTCATCTTCTTGCATATTAAAGTTATACCAGCAAGAATTAGTCTTTATGTAGAAAACTAGGATTTAAATCAAGCCTTACTGACTAGTGATTTAAATCATGATTTAAATCAGTTTGATTTAAATCAAATCCACTCTGGTTACTACTAACTCTGAATGGAAGTTGGAAAAATGTGTGTTTGCCTGGCTGTAGAACAAATAGGGGAACTCAACGTCAGCAGCTCTCAAGGGGGAAGCGTTACATGTAGAGTTTCTCATCTGGGATTTCCTTGTGGCAACCTGCTTGGCAGTTGTCTGTAGCAACCACGCTGGACTGCTGTAATCATGTGGACTACAAGAGTCATCCAGTTGTCCAACAGTGGCTGAGATTAGTGATTGTCCTGCTTCAGATCCTGCTAATATCAGTGGGAAATGCTAATCTCTATACTGTCACACGTAGCAACCATAGCAGCTCTCGAGGGGCTAGAGATACATTGATAATCTGTTAATTGGGGATGTGGTGCCCAAGTGATCTCCCATCAGTCCACAAAGAAGTAAAAGAGAAAGTCTCAATGACTTACGGTTTTGCACAGTAAGAACCAATTCTATGGTGTTCAGCAATGTATTTGGTTATAAATAGAAAAACATCATATTTTATTTTTGGGTCACTGGTTTACATGCATAAAATGCTTAGGAGTTCAATCCATGTTTTCTGGGATTTTTTGACAAATTTAAATTTTATGAAGACAAACTGACAAACAAACAAACAAACTGATATCTGCAAATTCCATGTCTCTCAATCAAATTGATCTTCTCTCCTTGGGTTATAACACCTTATTTAGCTCCTACCAGCTTTCTCATGGCTCTATGAACATCTTTATTTCTTAGGCTATAGATTAAAGGGTTTAGCATGGGAGTTATCATTGTGTAAACTACTGCCACCATTTTGTTTACATTCTTTGGGACTGAATTCTCAGGTGTAATGTACATGAATATGGATGTCCCATAGTAAATGACCACCACCATAAGATGGGAAACACATGTTGAAAATGCTTTGTTCTTTCCCAAGTGAATTGTTGTGATAGTGATTATGATTCGAAGGTAAGAGATGATAATTAGTGAAAGCGGGACAAAAAGCAAGATGGTCGAGCCAACCAATTTTAAGATGTTGACTGATGAGACATCACTGCAAGAAAGCTCCATCAGTAAAGGAGCTTCACAGAAAAAATGGTTGATGGTGTTGGGGCCACAATATGTTAAGCTAAGTATAAAAAATGTATCAATAGTTGAACTTATGCAGCCAGACAACCATGCCATGCTGATCATCCGCATACAAACCATTGTGTTCATGATCATATTGTAGTGTAGAGGGTTGCAGATGGCAACATAACGGTCATAGGCCATCAGGGCCAGAAGGATGCATTCTGTTTCTCCCAAAAACAGAAAAAAGAAAAACTGTGTAACACAGCCAGCAAATGAAATAGTCTTTTTTAGAGAAAGAAAGTTAGACAGCATCTTGGGTACAACAGTGGAAGTGTAGAAGATCTCTAAGAAAGCCAAACTAGATAAGAAGGTGTACATTGAGGTGTGCAAACGTTTGTCGGTCCTCACAGCGACTATCAGAAGTACATTCACGCACAGTGTGGTCATGTAGATTGCCAGGAAAATGAAAAACAGCATAGTTTGTACAAAAGGATCCACAGACAATCCAAGAAGAATAAATTCTGAGACAGTGCTTTGGTTTCCAGTGAGCATCTTAAAATTTTCAAAACTGTGATCAAGGAATATTTTTGGCTTATATAAGATCATCACATTTAAAGTAAAGAACATGGAAGCAAAAAATTTGATAAAACTGATATTGAATATATTGAAAATGTTCCTTTGTCAGGGATTTGAAGCATATACAAATTAAAGAAATTATAAACCTATTTAATAGATAAAACAGATACATATGAAATCCAACAATATGAAGCTTGTCAGAATAAAGCAGGATTAACCTTTCATTCCATGTAGACTATTTTCTTAAATATTTAGACCTCCCTGGTAGCAATCCAATATAAAGAATAAGTCTGAGTAGATATCCTAATCTCAGGATCTCTCAGCTATTTGCTGTAAATATCCATCTTATCATAGCTTTACTGCTGCAAAATCCTGCATAATGAATGGCCTTCTTTACCTGGAATCATGATAATAGTACTCACTCATCTGGATAAATGTCTAATTTATATCTTAAACTTTTACGTGCTTAGGCAGCTTTGCCCCCCCCCCCCCCCAGCCAGCTTATTGGACAATGAAGGGAATGTAGCATACAGATGTGGTCATTCCTTCACCCCCCTCCTTCAAGCATGTTCACAATGTTAGACTGGCTCTGATGTTGCTGTAGGGGGTTTATAGGACACTCAGGGCCATGGATAATACCACCAGTCCCCTTTACGGGGACCAGGAACAGCAGGGGGTCCCAGGCACTGCAGGGGGGGGGGGGTACAATTACTGGAACTGATCCCCTGTATGGCTCTCTCTGCAGCAGCTGAAAGCTGGCTTCTTCTCCTCTCCCTCCTGCTGATTTTCAGTGGCTGCAGAGAGAGCAATACAGGGGATCGATTCCAGTTATTGCCCCCCCATCACCTTCCCTTTGCACCATACATTTCCCCCTGCTGCGCAGGTCCCCCTGTGTGCCACAACCCCTGCAGTGCTGCTGACTTCCCTCCTCTCCTTCCCATTGGCAGCAGCAAGCACACAACAGGATCCCTCAGGATGGAAAGTGGGGGGAGGGACCATTAAATATGTCACATTTACCAGCCCCTTCCTTACCTAAATGAACTCAGTGAGTGATCAGTACCAATCACTCACTGTGTTCATTCATAACTGAAGCACAGTAAACTTTGTTTTTTTTTTGGGGGGGGGGGGGGAGAGGGGGGGACCTGTCAGGTTGGCTGTATGGGGCCCCATGGTTTCTAAAGGTAGCCCTGTCAGTGACACCCTATGCTGGCAACACATGAATTGCATGTTCAATCATTTTGTTTACTTTTAAATTATTCATTGGCTTACTTACAGTGGCAGCAATGCAATATGATTGGTTTGCAATAAATAAATTTCTTTATTAGGTATTTTTTGCCAAGACAACAGATTTTTTGTGCGGCATTAATAGGCCAGAATTGAGTGGTGGAAGGATCAGAGACAATAGATCTAAAATCTATCAATGGGTAAATACTTGTAAAAAAGAGCTAAAGCCATCAACTTCTTGCCAACTACAAAACTGTGGAAAAACTACTTTCATAACATAAGGCGTGATATTCTTTTCAGTACCGCACTGTATGGTGTACAAAATGTAATACAAATTAAATGTTGTACACCATACATTGTACATTGAGAAGGAGGGGCAGCACAGTGGCTAACCCTAGGTTCACATCTGTGTGGGTGGTGCCGCTGTGGATCCGCACGAAAATCTGTACAGCCGCACCACCCGTACAGAGAAATGCGTACCTGAGGGCAGGTGCCATTAGTTCTAATGGCGCGCCACCCGCACTGGAAAACGCAACCATACTGGGGAACCGAAGTTTCCATGCGGGCTACGTTTTCCAAAGAAGTGCAGGGACTTATTCCCTGCATGTCATGGGCATGGCAGTCCATTCAAATGAATGGGCTCTCGTGCCCATGCAAAAAGTGACCCGCACGGCCGCATATATGTGAAGCGGGGGGAAATGGTTAGCACTTCCACCTGGCAGTAGTGGGGTCATTGGTTCTAATTCCAACCATGGCACCATCTTCCTGGAGTTTGCATATTCTCCCTGTGCCTGCATGGCTTTCCTCTAGGTGATCCAGTTTCCTCCCTGAACAGATTTTCAGCACAGCTTTAATTGTGTTCATAGACAGCTACAATATATCAGAAGAATATGTCTTATTCTGAGACTAAAGGCAGAAAAAATGCACATTTGCAGCACAGGCTTTTTGATAGGACCATTACTTTAAAGAAAGAGAGCAGAGATATTTAATTTGAAAGAAAAAAAAACAGTGTCTTTTTTTCTGAGACAGTAGATAGGAAAAATTTGACATTTTTTTTGGACAGTATATACTCCTTTTTGCTAGGGTGCAATTTCAGAGGGAGAGATCAAGCAGACTTAATGTGGAAATTTAAAAAAATTACTGTGTCTTTTTTTCTGAGACTGAAGACAGAAAAGCTATGTAGATTTGCAACACAACTTTTAATCATTTATGATAAGTTGCTCTTTCAAAAAGAGATAGAGGCATATTTTATATGGAGGTTAAAAAAAATGACAGACTTGCTGGACAGAGTGTACTCCCTTTTTTGCTAGGATGGATTTTCTAAGGGAGAGTTAAAGCAGATGTCATCTGGAAAAGTGTCTTTTTTTCTAAGACTGAAGACAGAAAATTCAATTTGCTGGGCAGTAGGTACTCATTTTTTGCTTGGATGTATTGTCATAGTGAGAGAGCATAAAGGTTTCCTAGCAAATACATAACCGCTTGGTCACTTAGGGGGTAGTGGTCATTTGGCGATGATTCACCAGAAAAGGCCATCGAAGAAGTGGGGGATAGAAGCTGCTGATCTGTCACATCACCAGATTTCAGGATGTGGGTTGTGCTGCATCCTGCATCCCTCCTAGCAGTGAGCAAATTTTACCCAGTAAGTTGTAAAGGAAATATAATGTCTTTTCCCGTGCTTTCTGGACCACAAGTCTGTGGGTGCATTGACCCCACTTGCTGTCCCCATGGCAGTGGCGTCCCTAGGGGGGTGCGGGGGGTGCAGACCGCACCGGGTGACACCATCACAAGGGGTGCAGGATGCCAGCAGAGCTTCTAGGTTCTGTGAAGGTCCTGCCAGTTATTGGGGAGATCCCGGATTCCCGGTACAGTGACAGCTGCCCCCGGTGTAGTAGTAAAATGAGTATCCCGGACCCGTGAAGATATGTATCCCCTGAAGCAACTGCGCATGTGTCGGTTTCAGGGTGACCGAAGAATGATCTCCAATCTCTGACTTTAGCACAGAGCTGCCACAGTTAACCCCTTACAGACTGCAAACCGCTGAAGCTATCCCCACGGATCACTATGAGTTGCAAGATCAGTTAACCCCGTATAGTTTCAATCTATACGGGGTTAACTGACCTTGCAACCCATAGCGATCAGCGGGATCAGCTTCAGCGATTTTGCAGCCTGTAAGTGGTTAACTGTGGCAACTCTGTGCTAAAGTCGGAGATCAGTCTTCGAAACCGGCACATGCGCAGTTGTTTTTAGGGGATACATACCCTCACGGGTCGGGATACTCATTTTACCACTACACCAGAACCTCTCCTTCCTCTCTGGAGGGGTGACACCATGTGTTACTGCACCGGGTGACACCAACCCTAGGGACGCCTCTGTCTGGAGCCACCCCATTTTAGAATGGGGTGCCTTCAGACTGTCCTTAATTTTAAAGGGTGCCTTAGGACTGAAAAAAGGGTGAGAAACACTGATGTAAGATATCCATCCATGTTGCTTGTGGCTGCAAGAATAAGAACTTTCTGTAGTCGGTGACAAGATGCAAAGGGAGGAGTGGGAATGAGGGGGAGGAGTGCAGTCCTTTTGCTGCTGACTGGTAGCAATCATGTGCTGCTCCTATAGAGCAAACATTAACCTTTATAAGTCAGTGTGCCAAAGGACATTGTCCTGTGTACATCGGGAGCTGTGTAACTGGTGCTATTCTGACTACATTCAGCTATTTATAGACAATTTATGTGATTTAAATGCGATTTTCACAACTCCCGATGTACACAGGACAATGTCTTTTTTGGCATACTGACCTATGATGGAACTGTAGGTGCTCCCTGTAACTGTGTGTGCAGCCTTGTGCTGACATCTGTTGGCGTGTTACAAAACTAGTCTAGAAAAGTTTTGATACCACCTTGTAATTTATTCTGGCCATTGAAACGAATTAACACCCAAACACTAAGCTCAATGCACGTCAAGCATTATTTTTCTGCCAAAACACTTCTGCTCCTGGATGTCCCGGAAGTGGGTTTTTTTCTCAATTTTTTTAACTTTCCTGCCATTAAACACCTCTAAAACGTTATGTGTGCATTCACACATAGGCTAATATGAAGGAAGTTTAGTGGCCTTTACAACCACTTTAAGTGTGGTGATTGCACTGTGGAGTGATAACAGCTCTATGTTCTTTCTGTGTTCTAGTTTTTTTATTTTATTTTTGTTAGGTGATGTGACAGACCCTTTTGACTACTTACCATGGCCCTGACATCTGAGGGGGCTGTATTCTTTGGTGTGTGCCTGGGGAGACCATTGGAGTAGTTTACTTTGGATTAGGTCTATGTCTCCCCAAAACACACAGACTCTGAGAACTGGAGAACCAGGATACAGATTTGGGACCTCTGTGCCCAAACCAGCATTGATTGCTTCAGCCCCCACCTCCTTCCTCTAGGAGTCTACTCAGAGACTCTAAGAAGATGTTGATATAATCAGCTCAAAGCATCATGCTGAGGACTCTTGTTCTGGTCTGTTTATTAAGATTTTATGTGTTTCCTCTCTTCTCCCATTGTGTGCCTCCTAGGTGTGCATTCCCATTATTTCAATGGAGTTAATTGAGTTTGTTGGCAAGTCTTTCTGGAGGTGCCTACATGATAGGATTAGACCGATGTCAGCTTCGCCTCCTTATCTAATCAGTGTGGGATGTTTATCTCAATGTGTAATATTTGTGTTTATTGTTCCTGTGGGCACTGCCCCTATTTCTGGAGTGTATAAAAACCTGT